CCGCGCCCGCCCCGCCCCGCCCGCGGCCGCGGGTCCCGGCGCCGCCAGGCTTAGCTCCAGCGCCCTGGAGAGGCTGGAGACCAAAGTTCACCTCCTCAAGCAGGAGATGGTAAGGCTGCGCGCTCCCCTCCCTCCCTCTCTCTCTCCCTCCCGAGGCTTCCTGCCGCCTCTCTCCCCCCTGGCCGCATTCAGGATCCCAGGCTGGGTCATCTCATGCAGCCCCTGCCCGACCTGCCCGTGCCAGCCAAGGCTGCCTGCCCCGCTCCTCAGAGTCGCCAGGGCTGGAGACTCCCTGCTCTCTCGGCAGCCGGCTCCAATGCCTGACCACCCGGGCCATCAGAAAGATCCTCCTCATCTCCCAGTCCTCCTTGCCCCTATTCCAGCCACTCTCTATAATCACCCTTCAGGTGTTTGATGTGTTCATTGGCATCTGCTAACCCTAAACCAAGCCCAGCCCGGCTGCCTCCCTTGGACTTTGCTCCACCACCAGTCACTTGGCCTTCAGGTGCCTGCTCTGTCACCTAATACCTGTTAGCTTCCCCCGCCACCACCTCCTTCCCAGTCCTCCTTGCCCCTATTCCAGCCACTCTCTATAATCACCCTTCAGGTGTTTGATGTGTTCATTGGCATCTGCTAACCCTAAACCAAGCCCAGCCCGGCTGCCTCCCTTGGACTTTGCTCCACCACCAGTCACTTGGCCTTCAGGTGCCTGCTCTGTCACCTAATACCTGTTAGCTTCCCCCGCCACCACCTCCTTTTCCTGGTGTCCCTGCCATATGAGGACAGCAGTGTGACATGGAGGAGGGGGGCTTCTCTGAGCAGGGGCAGTGTTACTCAGGCTTTCAATGACAGGGGAGCTGCAGGGGGGGCTGAGCCCCCCATAAGAGACAAGAGCCCCCCTGTAAGATTTAAAAACCATAACCTGGGGGGTCTCTGGTTTTATTAGGGCATCATGATGGGCAGCCCAATTATTTTTGCAGACCCCCCCCTCCCCGCAAGAGACAAAGTGTAATTCAGACCCTGGTGTTAATGATGCATATGCCTCTGGGGTGCACCTGCTTTATACTTGGACCTAGTAGGGACATATGTAGCACCCTGATTGGCCTCCAGAAACACTCTGGTATGGATAATGCTTTGCTGAACTTCTCTCCCCAGCACCTTTTCCTGTCTGGCAAAGATGCTATGGATCTTCAGGCCACCCTTCAGTTGGTTTCCCTCACCCACCCACACAAAGGCTGCCTGCAAACAACATGCTCTTTAATCTGCCCAGGTCACAGCAGTAGAGCTAAATACATGCCCATTTCCTTTCTAGAAAAGAAGCTCCTGGCATCCTTGCTACTGGAGGTGGAGCCCTTCCCCACCCCTACATTGGTTTTATAATCACAGGCTTGTGATCATGGCCCTTCAAGGCACCCAGGTTAAGGGCGTACATCACAAAAGTTTCTATAATGCATAAACAACCTATAAGATAGCTCCTTAATGCTTGATCACAATTATATCGTATCACCAAGGTGCTACTGGAAAAAGTTGACAGGATACTGCTTATCCACTGAAGAGATTTCCCACCTCTCCCTCCCCTTCTCACGTGGCTTTGAGGCCATGTGTGTCATTTGCTGTTAGCTGACAGAATGACAGATCATCCATGGTATTTAGGTAGCTTACATGCATCTTTTTTAATTACCCCTAAATGTCAATAGTTAAATATTTTAGCACATTGGTCAGCCCCATTCTGTGTATTGCCAGTCTGTACTATCATTGCTTGATGTTAATGCCTATTTAATACCTGTTGTAAAGGACATCTCGAGGCCAAAATAGTGCCCTGTCTTCACAGTGATTCAGTTGTATAAAGACTTTAACCTTCAGAGGTCTATTTATTTATAAAAGGAGTGCTCCAGAATCTCTCTGTCTGTATGCTAGCACACACATTTATGATTTGACAGAGTGGCTGTTTGACTATGGTCTACCATTAGCCCATGCTTTAGTTATTTGTTTTTCAAATTGTCCCAGGTATAGTATGACAGGTGTTATGCACCAGGTAAAGCAACTCTACCACGAATTTAATTTCTAGAGTTTCTTTACCATAGGTTTTACTTTAAAAATGTGAAATTTTCAAAAAGAAAATAGTGAGTATTCTTTTTAACATTTTGTTAGACTCTGATGACAGTTATACCACTGTAAATGGGGAATAACTCCAAACTATATGCACAGTAAACTTAATTGTATCAGAGGAGCCAATCTGTATGGGCAGAGGTATTAAGTGCATAAATAAGTAACAAAAAGTTGTAGTACCTCTTTGTACCACTTATAATGCAGTTTTTAAGTAAACTTTGTTGCATCTGTGTTGTGTGTGTTGACCTGCATAACTCTCTTGATTGAGAAAAGAACTGTTTGGTTAAAAAAATATCAATTCTGGACCTACTGAGAGAGTCTGACTATTTTAAGCATAGCTATTTTGATATATGCAGAGCTATCACTCTTGCTTTGAATGTGGTTTACAAAGCATGTTCCAACCAAGTTTGTTTTTGCTTCATTTATTATAAGGATCCCTATGAAGCAATGTCAAATTGCTACATGAACTATTTGTTTTGTTTGTTTTTTATGAGGAAACAAAGGATGCAAACTAAAATTCAGTTGTGGAATGATAGAGCTGCTCTGAAAGAACAAGATATAAAGTGATTAGGTTATAGAGCACAGTGAAACTAATCTGGCTTTAATGAGATTAAGTAGGTGCCATACACCCGTATTCCTATCCAGCAGTATAAGCAGGGTCAGATAAGAAAGAAAATTAGGACATGACCTTGCCATTCCTTCCGCTTTAATTCCCATCTACCTCTGAATATCTCCAGCTCTGAATAGATCCAGCTTTATGTATCTGCCTGTCTATATATTGATTCAGCTCTGCATCTCTCCAGCTTCATATATCTCCATCTCTATATATCTCCTCACCCCTACCCCTTCTTTCCTTCATCCTCCTCATCTTTAAGAACAAAAAACAGTGGCAACATCTGTTTGAATACAGAAGGATGCAGCTTTATATATAGACTCACTGTATATGATGTAGTTATTCTACCAAGTTTCTGGATGCTCAAGCATGTTCCAGTGTGAGCATGCCTGAAGAGGGGGAAGAAAATGGTTGTGTGTCTCTCTCAACTGTCACTTCCATAATGCACGTTTTTTGGTCACGCTCAATTTGCCACAAGCAGGCTTTCCTTTAAAATGGTGCTGTTAACTGGGAACTACAGCACTTTACTCACAGCTACCAACTTTAGGTCTGTGCCTCCTTTCCTCATTTTTTTCCAGAGTTGTCAACAGTCACTGCAAAACCATAATTAAATCCAAACTCTGTCTAGACTGGTCCTAAAATTTATGCTTTCCAACTTGGGGTAACCCAGCATCTTTCTTTTCCATCTTTCCCTGCATCTTCATCATCTCTTACAAATAGTTGGAGGATGACTGCACTGTATTTGCAAAACCTATAACCTCTGTGCGTTCTGTTGTGTTATTGGCTGGAAGTTTTTTCTCTCAAAGTTGACAGGTTAGCAGCAGAGACAGGGATAACTGCTAGCATGAAACAGCTTGTTTGGGTCCTGTATAAAATCTCCTCCTGATGGGCGCTGTGACTTCACACAAAGCATATATTGAACACTTAGGACCCAGATTATTCCCTCATATGGTAATGCAAAAAGAAAACCTGGGCTCTAGGCTACTAAAACAAATGGATCTGAAGTCTGTATTGACCTAAGTCTGTATTACCATTTCATGCTAGTTCAGTAGATTCTGGTAGTCTCAGTCCAGTTCCTAGTGGATAAATATTGTCCTTACAAAGTCACCATTCACTAATAAAGCCTTACTAGAAACATGGTGCAGTAAATCATAGACTGGATCCATTTCCAGGTTCTAACTGCTATTGTTTCGTTCTTCCAAAGCCATAGTTCTCCCTCATAATAATCATACCTAATCAAACAAAGACTATATTTTCTTAAAACACATGAGAGGAGAAAAAATAGGCAGAGAGAGAAATGCAGAGCCTGCTAAAATCACCCTGTATTACATTTTGAAAACAAAAACAGAGAATGAGAGAATGAGAAGTAGTTTGCCTATGTTGTATCCACACTACTTGCAATGTCTAGCAGTGAAAAATGGTGTCTTTATTTTTGTGGCACTGTTTCAGAGACAGGAATCTTTCTGGAAAAGAGGAGACAAGGTAGTAGCATTGGAGCATATATTGCACTTAATAACATTCTCAAGTGCAGAACTATCTAACTGGTGTCCCATGGGTGACATCTGACCCCCAAGCGGTTAACCTGAGGCCCCTGGACTCCTGGTCCCAGCACTGCTCCTCCTTTGCTCTCCTGCTGCTCCCACTAGAGTTCACAGGCTCCCCCTCCCTCCTCCAGCTTCTGCTGTGTGCTCTTGTTCCTAGGGGCTGGGCAGAGTGGTGCAGCCTGTGGAGTCCATGCAGTCCATGATCATGGGACTTGAAGGGACCTAGAGATCCCGTCCAGGGACCTCTGTGGTATGGTGGGGGAGGGGGAGAGGTGGCTCATGCAGTGCATTGTGGGCCCATGTGGCGCAGCAGAGAAGGGCTCGCATGTGCAGAGGGAGAGGGAGAGTGCTGAAGGGGTGACTTGCATTTTGTGGTGTGGGGCTGGGAAGAGAAGGGCTCATGGTATGTTGGGCCCAAGGTGTGTATGGCCATGCACTGAGTGGCTGGGGAGTCTGTGGCCCCTATCACTCAAGTTGTATAGCCCAGTTCTAGTGCTTTCCTTGATTTATAAGTTTGGTCTAGCCAATCCTGGTGTCCAGGATACAGTGCTTTTGGGGAGGAAGGGATAAAGAACTAGGGAGAATGTTATGGCTCAAAAATATATCTGGGCTGTAAGCAGTCCAAACCATTAAGGAAAGGGGGACAAATTCAGAAGTGGTTTGTAATATAATACATATGTCCCATAGCCTTCCCTATGCCTATACCAACCTACTAAATGGTTTGCACACTACTTGTGCTGTAGACTTTCTGCAATTTAAGAAGCTCAGTTTAAAACTTATTCTAAGTAACAAGGTTACTTGCAATCATGAAAAACCTAAATAAGATCTCAAAGTTGAGATGAA